GAGCATGTTTGGTGGGATGGGGATTCGAACCCGCGACCCGCAGATTGCGAATAGAGCTCCCTAACCACCTGGCCATGCCGGGCCCTGTTTTCCCTGTTTTTTTTTTTTTTTTACTTCTTTAAACAAAAGCAAAAAAGAATGTAACAGTCACAAGCGTTATGAAAATCATGTTAACTTATACATGTATATATACGATATGGATTTAATGAAATCAGCAGGTCAGACAAAAAGACACTTAAGTAATAGACAGTACAACAGTCTTATCTGTAAGTCTCGCGGCGTTTACAAGTATAAGAATTGTATTATTGAAACTAGAGAAAACTTTGTCTTATACTCTGCCATGAAAGTAACCTGTTTTTTAAGAATTAAGGATTACCAAAAGTAGCTTCGAAGTATTGTCCTATCGGATATCTTACCTTTTATGAAATGTTGTAAACATTTGAATCAGAAAGAATGAGTAAGTTTTTAAGAAACCTAAAAATATCGTACCACGATTTTTAACAGATTTATAAATAGTAAAAAATTAAGTTTTTTCGACAACACCAGAAGTATCATGGATAAGTCTAATCAGTAAATAGAAGCGATAATTTCAACGCTTCACAGCAATATTTTAACTTTAACTCTTATATATAACAGAAAGAAAATAAAGAAAGTAAATTAACCAAAAGGGTATTATCATTGAAGCCTTTTTTTTCTCTATAGTGTGAAATAGACATTATATTATATCTTATATCACTGAAGCCTTTTTTTTTTCTCTACAGTGTGAAATAGATCTTATATTAAATCTTATATCACTGAATCCTTTTTTTCTCTACAGTGTGAAATAGATCTTATATTATATCTTATAGCACTGAAGCCTTTTTTTTCTCTACAGTGTGAAATAGATCTTATATTATATCTTATATCACTGAAGCTTTTTTTCTCTACAGTGTGAAATATATCTTATATTATATCTTATATCACTGAAGCTTTTTTTTCTCTACAGTGTGAAATAGATCTTATATCTGTTGTACAAATAATTTACTCTTCTTTTATACCTTGGTATTTCACGACTAACACGTTAACACCAACCTAATCATACTTAACGTAATAAGCTCAAAGGGTTCCGCCCAATAATGTGAACCTTACCCACTGTGTTTTTAACCGACTTTTATGGTGTCGTTAAGTTGCATAGTTAACTCTTCAACTGCGGTTGACATCATATGATGCAAGCATTTTGCGCCCAACATTTCGCGAATCTTTGCGTGTGGGAAGTTATGAAGAATTACACAAACCGCAAACGAAGGGTTAAAAAAGGAACATTAAAAATATTTCTAAGTAAATATGCTGCTTATTTCAGAAGATTATGATAGTGCCTTTATAGTTCAAAATTAGAGTTGACTTTGATATGAATTTTTAGGCCCATGTCTGTCCAAGTGATTCAGCTCCGACCCGATTGGAGTACGAATAAAAGAAGCATCCATAAATTCGTTGGTAAAAGAGTAGCTCAAGAGTTGGCGGTGGGTGGTGATGACTAGCTGCCTTCTCTCTAGTCTTTTACTGCTAAATTAGAAAAAGCTATCGCAGATAGCCTTCGTATAGCTTTGCGCAAAATTCAAACCAAAACAAACAAACAAACCATAGGTTCGATTAAGTTCTAAGCATGAAAATAATCTTCTTTTTTTTAGGTCCAACCATGTTTGTTAAAAACGAACATCAGACCCGATTTAGAGCATGGTTATACAGATTAAGATTTGTTTCAGGTTTGGCGAAATTATATACCATGGCCAGGTGGTTAGGACGCTCGACTCGCAATCTGCGGGTCGCGGGTTTGCATCCCCATCCCACCAAACATGCTCGCCCTTTCAGCCGTGGGGCGTTATAATGTGACGGTCAATCCCACTATTCGTTGGTAAAATAGTAGCCCAAGAGTTGGCGGTGGGTGGTGATGACTAGCTGCCTTCACTCTAGTCTTACACTGCTAAATTAGGGACGGCTAACGCAGATAGCCCTCGTGTAGCTTTGCGCGAAATTCAAGACAAACAAACAAACAATTATATACTATGTAAACCTACAAAAGTGTCTCGATAATTTAAATAGATCCACTACCGAAGTTTTTACAAATAACAAAGGCAATTTAACAAAAATAATTTGTATAAAATCCGAATTCAAACTCAGTAATACAAAAGCTATGCTTTGTGACTATAGTTGATATTTTGATATTTACAAACCTGCTAAACTAAAGAGGGTGAGGGGCCGCCTACCCACTTTTTCAACTACAAATAGTCCAATGAAGGAGCAAAAGAAAATAACAGCAGCTGTTCCAGTAGATATCCAAATAACTGTTGATTTTTCTGATATTCCATTCATCTTTATAACAGGGACACTGTAGTACCTGAAAACAAACTTTTCAATTGAAGTCAGTAAAGTTTGGCTTTTAATTCTATAAGTCAGTTCATTTAAAACGTATAGAATAATATATCCATTTCCTTATAAAGTCTGCCAATTATTTATCAATAAACAGTACATATATCGTTTTAAGTTAAAGTGTTTCACTAGCAGTTAACAGTTAAACTAGTTATGATACTTTAAAAATTTAAATATTATTTTATGCACGACAAGACCTACTAATTTTAGATTATAGTTGCCACGTGTTGAAAATCATGACAAGTTTATCACTTATTGCTTTTCACTCTCGAAAATCAGGCGCACTCGAGTAAAGACTAATCCAGCAATCTCATTAAATTACTGACTAGAGCAGTAATGTAATTCTGATATCGAAAAACAGGCGCACTCGAGTGAAGACTTATCCAGCAATCTCATTAGATTACTGACTAGAGCAGTAATGTAATTCTGATATCGAAAAACAGGCGCACTCGAGTGAAGACTAATCCAGCAATCTCATTAGATTACTGACTAGAGCAGTAACGTAATTCTGATATCGAAAAACAGGCGCACTCGAGTGAAGACTAATTCAGCAATCTCATTAGATTACTGACTAGAGCAGTGATTTAATTCTGATATCGAAAAACAGGCGCACTCGAGTGAAGACTAATCCAGCAATCTCATTAAATTACTGACTAGAGCAGTGATGTAATTCTGATATCGAAAAACAGGCGAACTCGAGTGAAGACTAATTCAGCAATCTCATTAAATTACTGACTAGAGCAGTAATGTAATTCTGATATCGAAAAACAGGCGAACTCGAGTGAAGACTAATTCAGCAATCTCATTAAATTACTGACTAGAGCAGTAATGTAATTCTGATATCGAAAAACA